GTAGAATCTATTAGAGCTTGTATTCTATTAGCATACCCTTTAAAGAATGGGGGCGGGTGTCACCTCAAGCCACAATAAGGCACTATACAATACTGACTGTGCCAAATCAGAGAAATAATTATGCAGCAATGGCCACTGTTAAGGGCCACTCCCTAGAGGGACCCAACCATATCTGTCAAACACTAGCCCAGGGTCATTAAATCGACAATCAACAAGGGTTGACTAAGTTCCAGGCACTGTGCTAAGCACTAAGATTTCAAAAACAAAAATTAATCCAGTTCTGCCTGCAAGGAGCTTACATTCTATTTAGGAAGACAGGCACATTAATAAGTATATGCAAAATATGTACAAAATAAATACAGGGTGATTTTGAAAGGGAGGGCACTAGGAGGTAGAGAGATCAGGAATGGCTTTATGTAGAATTTATTTACATAAAACATACACTTGTCACCGACTATTTAGAAAAGGGCATTCTTTTACAGAAGCAGAGGATTTTTAAACTACAAGACAGCATAGAGATTATCTAGCCCAGTCCACGCATTTATCTTTTCTCCTGCTTGACGTTTGTTGAACTGTTGCAGATGCAGTCGTTAAATCAAGATCCACTGTGTTCAACCCTGTATTACCATACTGCCCTCCTAAAATTCTGAAGTTGTTCATTTTCAACCACATCTTACCCTTCCACTAAAACAAAATAATTCTGATCCTCAAGCTCTTTTTTCATGCTTTTACTCAAGAAGCTCTAAAATCACCTCTGTGGGCTCTAAATCTCTATCTCAATTTGGAACAAAATCCCTATTTAAAGCCGTATTCCTTGGCCGATCATATTCAGGTGTCCCTATATAAAACATATCCACATTCTTATAGTATCTACTGATCAAAGTTTAGATCCCTGACCTACATCTTCTGTGAGGTAGCAGCATGGTATAGGAAAGAAGGACCTGGGTTTGAATCCTGACACTGCCACTTATTTCATGCCCATTAGCTTCTATTCTATGGACCTCGATTCCCTCATCTATAAAATGAGGGGGTACCGTTCAATAATAAAGTTATTCTCATTCTTCTCCCTTTTTTAATTTTTAATTTAATTTTTAAATTTATGGTTCCATTCTTGTTCTTCATTAACTTAATCAAGTATATTCAAAAGTTCTACTCCTCCACTGCCATCATATAACCATAACCACTATAGGAGGACAAACAGGAGTAAAGAAGAATTTACCACCCACTGCAATGAAGCAACTCTGTTCCAAGAGTTTATTTATAATTGACACAAGGAGGGTTTATTACAGAATGAAAAGATTCTAGAAAAAAAAAACTAGCTGTGTGACCCTGGGCAAGTCACTTAACCTTGACTGCCTCACCAAAAAAAAAAGCAAGGAAAAAAAAAACCCAATGCCCTGGAATATATTTGCTTTGATACTATGAATATCTTGCTTGTTTCTTTATCTTTACTGTTTAAATTTAATACAAAGAAACCAAAGCTCATTTTTTTCAGAAAAATATAGAAAACAAGTTAAACTCAACCTGAATGTGATTGTATTGGTTTTCTCTAAACAAATATTTTGTACATGCTCTTTTCTTGCAAAGAAGTTTGTGGTTCATGCTGATGAGAAAATTTAGTCTCGAAATGTTCACCTTTGCACTGGAAACAGTACTGTTTATTTGGTGCAGCCATTCAAATTATAGATATTTTGAATAGATTTTCACAATTTTTATTTAGTGAGGGTCATAATGAAAAAGTTTAACAATACTGATTTAGTACATACAAAGTTCAAAAGGAAAAATTGTATGGCTATTTTTCAGTCACATTTTAATGAAAATTTAGGTATTAATAATTGTACAAGATATACCATTTCTCCAAATCAATCCCAAGAACAACTTCAGGGTTTTTTTAAATGCCTGAAATATAGAAAATCATCTCTGGTATTTCACCTTTTCAAATTTTGATTTTTAAGTCAATATTAAAGAAGTCATATGTATTTGTATATTTTCTTCTAAAAGGTAAAAAATCTTTACAATGAGTTTATAAAAATGAAAAATTTAGGAAAAATACTTAATCACCACTGTCTACATAAGTATGTTAACTATAAAACTGTAACTTCTACACATGCTATTTTTCATCAGTAAAGTGATGTGCCAGATTCTGAGGCAAATTATATATTTAAACCCAATTCAAAATGCATGTGTTAAAATTCATGGTATTTCACTCTAACCTACCAATGCTAAGGAAAAAAATTATTAAAAATAAATGTTCTGCTGCTAGAAGATATCCTTTTTTTGGTCTTCTAGGACAAACAAAACAATAAAATCAAAGCAGGCTGCTTACTATCATCTGAGATGAGCAAAGAGTAAGAACTTGGCCAATCCTTCATCTCTGCCCAACCTGCTTCTCACCTTCCTTGCTTTCCTTAGCTTGAGAATGCAAGAGCTAAATGTAGAAGATGCCTCATTCTTTACCTGAATCAAAGTGCTTTAGGCCTCAAAGTAAAACCTAAGAAAAGTCTAATAAAAAATATAACCCTTCCAGACCTTTTATTATAAAACACAGGTGTCCTTCAACTAAAGTTTTTATACTAAACAACAATGAAGTGGTTGAAAGATGAAATGTCAGGAGATTAAAATTACAATAACTTTAACTTAGATTACCGGATTGACTTTTTTTTTTTTGTAAACAGAAATGGAGGCATTTGAAAACTTTAAAAAAAAAATAGAAGCGCCCGAGTCCTAGAATATGACTCAAACTGAAAAGCCCAAATAATTTTTCTCCATTCCAGAATGAAAAGTTAATCTGGGAAAAGAAGTTATGAGAATAAATCTGTTGTATGCACATATCCAATTGCATGTGTAAGAAAAAACATTAACTGGAAAAAAAAAACATTAACTGATGTGAATACGTGTGGCTACAAGGGCAGCTTTCCACTCCCCTTGCATATACTGAATAATCCAGTAAGTGTCCTGAAAAGGCGAAGACTTTTAAAGTTTTGGCAGTTGTATCTTCTTAGTTTCAACTTTTTTTTCCTTTCTCTCTAGTGTGACTCTCTGGACCATCCTTGTTACCTCAAAGTAGGGAATGCCTTAACAAGAAACTCACTGACCTTCACCCTGTCAGTATCTCAAGGAGCAAATCCAACCACAGAGCTTGGCAGTAAGGTGAAAGCCAAGAGGACTCCAGGTAGTGGCATCTACATCCAAGAACACACACAGCGGAAGCCAAGTAAAGTGCCACCCACAGCAGCTGTAAATTTGCAGCTGCAACCTCTCAGAACTGTGATTCAGGCAACTTTATTTCCATAGGAAGAAAAAAAGAATGCCACTTACTTACTACGATCAAATTTTCACAAGTATTGCAACCTCTATAACTAAAGTTTTGGTTGTAATACTTACCTAAGGCATGTTTCAGAACTTAAAACCTAGGATAATTTTAAGGAACTGACTAGGGTGAGGGAAGCATATGCTCTGAAAAATATAGTACTCAACTTGAGAACACAGAAAACCCTACACACCACAGCTAATTCAACAATGTAAAGTAATATCCCATAGCTCAAATATCATAATCTTTATGAGGGAAAAATGTATTGGATCGTTCTTTGAGGTTTTTTTAGCCTAATCAAATGCTCTGCCCACAGTAGATACTGAACAAAGGCTATAAATAAGTAATGTACCTTTTAACAAAAAGTATTTACCTTTCTGTTAGTGTATGCTCACAAAAAATACCCTAATGAAGATGCAATTATGCTTCAATATAGTTATGAATATATACCTATATATATAGTTGTCTATATAGTTCTAATATGTCATGTAAATCAAATCATATTTTACATCAAGTGGAAATGACTGCTATTAAAGAAATCCATCATTCAATCTTTGCAAAGCAAAGAATTCTTTCACAATGAAATAATACCTAATAACACATATTAGGATAATTTATGTATCAGAGTTGAAAGCTTGGATGTTTCTTTGCCAGATTTCTTAAAGTGTATAATGAGTCTAGAAGAATTTATGTTTCTATATATTTTCTCTAATATGTAAACCAAAAAAACCCACCCCACTTTGCAAATATTAAACAACTTCCCACTCTTTTGATCACTTCCATCATAGAAAATAAGGCTATTAACACTTAAATCGACTTTCCAGAAAAAAAATTACAAAGATGTAAACAATTACAAAATATACTTTCCCCCCCCAAAAAATAAAAATCAATTCGCTAAGTTTACAGAATGATTCTTTTCTAAGTAGGAGATTATCTAGTCCAATCTTCTCGTTTTAGTTGAAAATCCAAGAGGCAGGGAAGTGGAGTCACTTGTCCAAGATCGGTCATCCTGCTGGTTTACAGCAGCAGCGACTCGAACCTGCCTTTCCACTGAATTAAATTCAGATTCTTTATTTTTGTTCTAGACTTGTCTAGGACACTCTATCTTCCTGAACCCTTGAGTAAGAAGTCCTCCTAGGAGGGATGTCTCCAGAACTGTATTAAAAACTTGGTTTGAAAAAAAGGCTCCATTCATCTACACCAGTTAGTTCGGTATCCCGCTGAGAGAAAAGAAACCCCCTGCCCCAATACCTCGTCTCTTCGTTACCCCTGAGGCTAATAGGTGCGCGGCTGCAGAAGCTGCTTCGGAAGGGGGAAAGAGGGGTCTAATCTAACGGTACCGGGCAGTGCGGCTCAGGGGAAAGAAAAGAGGCTTTACAGAGGACCTGGATGTGAATTCGAGTGCCGCCACTTAATCAATAAGGTACCCCAGTTCTCGTCTGGAAAGTGAAAGGGTGGGCTTGCTCCCCAGTACACCCCCCTTTCCAGCAGCGGACCTCGCTAAGTGAATGGCGGGACGGAGGGCTCCACGTGGGTCCCAAACTAGAGGAGGGGCTCCACTTTGGGGGAATCCGCGGGCCGGTGCCGGCCGGAGCGGGGGCGGGGCCCCCGGCAGGTGGGAGCGCCCGCAGCCCCGCCCGCCCCGGCCGGCCCGGGTCCGAGGCAGGGGCGGGGCGGGGCCGGCTCTCACCCTTGTCGCAGGCCAGCAGGAAGAGCTTCTCGTCCAGCGTGGTGTCCTCCTTCACGTCCCGCACGTCCTTCAGCGCCAGGAGCTTGGTGGGGGACGAGGACGCCGAGGAGCCCGATAGGTCCGAGCTCTGGTAGAGAGCCGCCATGATGGCGGCCCATGAAGGGGGGGATCCAGGCGGTGGGGACGGGGACGGGGACGGGGAGCGGGACGGGGACGGGGACGGGGACGGGGAGGGGGACGGGGACGGGGACGGAGGGGGGGCTTCCTCCGGCCCCGGCCCCGACCCCCACTCCGCCCCGTGGCTGGAGAGAAGCTGGGAAGCTTCCACGGTCCTCTCGTGGCGCGGCCGCTCCGGAGCCACCGGCGTCAGCGCACGAGCCGCGAGAGCTCCGCTGACAGGCGACCGTCCCTCACAGCCGCCCGCCGGGGATGGGAAGGCGCATGCGCGGCCCGGGGCCGGGCGCCCCTCCCTCCCCATCCCCGTCTCCAGCCCCATCCCCACCCTCTGGGACGGGCCGGAGGGAGCGCGGCTTGAGGGACTCGGCGGGGGGCGGCACGCGACGCGGAGTGGCTGGAGAGCGCAGTGCTAGGCTCAGGAAGGAGGGCAGGGAGGCTGGGAGGCAGGGAAGAGAGCACCGGGATGCGGGAAGGGAGCACGGACGCGCGGAGCCCGGGATGCGGGGAAGGGAGCACCGGGCGCGCGGAGCCTGGGATGCAGGAAGAACCGCACGCGGAGCGAGGAGAGCAGTCCGGGGCGGGGGGTAGCGGGAGAGGGGCTCGCGGAGCGGGTTTGGGGGGGCAGTAGGGAGAGTAAGGGTCAGAGAAGTGGGGGCAAGAGAGCTAGCTGGAAGAGAGGGGCGGGCGGAGCAGTGGGGTAAGGAGCCCAGGGAGGAAGGAGGGGTAGGGAGAAGAGCGAGCCGAACACGGGGAGGGGGTGGGAAAGGAGCTTAATGGGAAAAGGGGGGACAGGGGCTGCAGGAAAGGGGGGCAGAGGGATGAGTGCGAGAAGCCGGGGGAGGGGTGGGAAAGGAGCTTAATGGGAGAAGGGGGGACAGGGCCTGCTGGAAAGGGGGGCAGAGGGATGAGCGCGAGGAGCCGGGGGAGGGGTGGGAAAGAAGCTTAAGGGGAAAAGGGGGGACAGGGGCTGCAGGAAAGGGGGGCAGAAGGATGAGCGCGAGGAGCCGGGGGAGGGGTGGGAAAGGAGCACAAGGGGAAAAGGGGGGCAGGGGGATCAGCTAGCGGGGGCAACGCGGATCAGGGGAGGGGGCAGGGAGAGATGAGAGCTGGAAGGGCAGGGGGATCAGCGAAGAGCAAGGGGGAGGGGGACAAGGAGAGACAAGAGATGGGGGGCAGGGAGGATCAGTGCGGAGCAGGGGAGGGGAAGTAGGAGAACCGGGGAGGGGGCAGGGACAGGCCCGGGGGGGGGGGGGCGGGGGAGGAAAAAAACGGGGGGGGGGGGGGGGGATCCATGCAGGGCAGGGGGGGAGGGGGGCGGGGAGAGCCGAGATCTGGGGGGAGGGGGTGCCTGGGGCAGTGGCGAGGACAGCGGAGCAGGAGCTGGAGCCGATGCTGTCGGGCCTCGGGTGCTGCTCTCCGACTCGCTCCTCACGTCATCCTCGGTCTCTCGGGAGCGGCGAGGCCGGACCCGACTTGCAGCTATGGTGGCCGAGGAGGGCACCTCGTATCTTCTCTATAGACGTTTGGAACGAGAAAGTAGTCTCACGCTGGGGCTGGGGGGAGGTGGGAGTCAGAAAGACCTGGATTCAAGTCCAGCCCCTGCCCAAGTACCTGGCTGGGTGACCCTTAACCTCCCACTGGTGCTCACGGCTCTAGTCTTAGATCTAAGCTGCTAACCTGCCTGGGTAGGCAGGGTGTCCTAGCTGAGTATCCCAAATCTCTGAAATCCTGGATCCATACAGAAAAAAGAAAAGGGCATTTAGATCCGAAAGGGACCTTTGGAGATCATAAGCTAAAAGTTTAAGCTGGGAAAGGGCCTTGGAAGCCGTTGGTCCACCTTCCACATTTTGCAGATCAGGAAACTGAGGCCCAGAGTGTTTAAGTGCCCAAACTTGCCCAAAGCATCCCACAGCTACTGTCTGAGACCCGATAGGAACTCAGGGCTTCGTGATTCCATTGCTTTCCATAAACATTTTCAAGATGACCTTGCACAAGATTGTGGTAATAGTGATGGAACTGTGACTAAAATGAATTTAAAAGCATCTTTCAAATGCTACCTATGTGCTCTTAGGTATGACTCTTAGGAATTGGGGATCTAGTTGGAAAGTACCAAACCTGGTACTTACTGTTGACCAGTTTTTTCCCCACTATCACTTCCCAACAACCCACCTCCAATAACTACTGACAGAATTCTCATAACAAAGAAGAGCTAAACAAAAACAAAAATAACCACATCGGGCCCCTGTAGTTCAACTGCCTGCCTCTTTAGGGAAAAAAAAGGAGGGCTTCCTGGTGGAGGTAATGTCTGAATGGATTCCGTGAAGCATAAGTGAGGGAAAAATATATTCTAGAAACGGGTTTCAGGGATATATGGAAAGGAGAGTTAAAAAGAGATGGGAATGTAGTACACAGAGAGGGTTTTGTTTAATAAGCCTGGAAAGGTACGTTGGAACAGGATTATGGCAGTACTTTTTAAGGCAAATGGTTGATATTTTATCCTAGAGGCAACGAGATGCCCCTGACTATTTTTGAGTACTAGGGGAGTGATATGGTCAAATTTGTCCAAATACCTATTCTGAGAAGAACTAGTGGGAAAAAGCAATGACAAAATTGTAATAGTCCAGGCAGGAGAGGGTGAGGACTTGAACCTAATTGATGGCAGGGCAAGGGGAGAAAAAGGGACAGATGGGAGATGTATCGTGGAAATAAAATGAAGGAGACTTGGCAGCTGATTAATTACATGTGGGGTGAAGAAAGGGGAAGAATGGAGGATGACCCCAAAGCTTTGAACCTGGATGACTGAAAGGATTGTGGTGTTATTCAACAGAAAGAATAAAGACAGGAAGAAGGGACAGTTTGTTGGGAAAGATAATGAATTCTATTTTGTGCATGTACAGTTTGGGATCTCTATGGGACATTTATTAGGAGATATCTAGTAAATAGACAGTTGGTGACAGGAGTCTGAAGCTTTTAGACGTCTGTTAGAGCGTGCTTTCTGCCAAAAGCAGAGCAGTTGGTAAGTTCTTGACTAGTCTTAATGTTTATTTGATTCTTTGTAAATTGGAGAAAGGGACATGGGGTGCTGTTATTCTGATTCTGATGAATATGGAGGAACTTGTGCTGAAGTAGAAACAGAAAAATAGAATTTGCATAGTGCTTGAAGGTTTGTAAAGTGCTTCACATTTGCTCCTCACCACATTTATTGGTAGATGCCAATAAATCTATTTTACATATGAGAAAAATGAGACTTACAGAGGTAAATGATTTGCCCATGACAGCTTGTGTCAGGTAGGATTTGAACTCAGGTCTTCATGTCCAAGTCCAGTAATCTACTAAGAAACGAGTGACCAATCCTTTTGGTAGAGGAGAGGAAGCCCAGTCGTACATACACACTAACACATATCTTCAATCTGGTGAAGCTAAATTTTAAAGAGTTCAAAGCATAGTTCCACAGGGGAAATGAGCCCGAGGTGCCAGGATCATAGATTTAGAGCTAGAAGGACCTATCTATTCCATTCATTTCATTTTACAGGTAAGAAATCTGAGCTCCACATATCCTTTTTTTTTCTCCGTGGGACAATTGGGGTTAAGTGACTTGCCCAGAGTCACACAAAGCTAGTGAGTGTTATGTGTCTGAGACCAGATTTGAACTCAGGTCCTCCTGACTCCAGGGCTGGTGCTCTATCCACTGCATCACCTAGCTGTCCCCTTGAGGTCCACACATCTTGAGTGACTTGTCTGAGGTCACACAAATAATGACCGACTTGGATTTAAACCCACAACCTCTGGCACTAAGTCCATACACTTGCTATCATACCTCTCTTAGGTACAAAGGAATGGTTAGGGGAAACTGCCTGGATAAAGTAGATTTAGGATTTAGTCTGATTAGGGCTGGGTAGATAGGATTGTGCTGGGGAAAGGGTAGGATGTTATAGATAGAGGAGATAGTCCTGGTAAATGATCACAGGCCAGAAGTGAGAGGATTGTTGTGAATGGGCACTGGCAAAACGGGGAGTAGAAGGGGAAGGCTAGGAAAGCAGGTTTGCTTGCCTGGACGACAGTTGTAAAAAGTCACAGGTTAAGCAGCAAAAATGAGGATAAAATGTTTGAAGCCCTAGGACAGAAGTCTTATGACGGCCTAATCCTGATCCTTTGGGAGGGGTGTCACTAGAGGTGTTTTTGGACAGGTAAAATGAAACTTCTTTAAGAGCAATACTCTATAAACTAGATTAAAGGAGAGGAGAGCCTGGAAATGCTGAGATTTCAGTCTAATAGGAAATTAACTGGTTGAAACTACAATTGTAGTGATAAAGTGGAAAAACTTTACTGGAGAGATGTTATGACTCAAAATGTGGCAAAGATGTGGATCTTTGAAGTACTAATGAAGCGTCAAACAGTATCCCCAAATCAGTTGATCAATACGGATTTAAGTGCCTGCTATCTGGCAGCCACTGTGCTAGGCAATTGGGATACAAACAGAGAGAATGATATAATCCCTACTCTCAGGTGTGTTACATTCTAACTGGGGAGAAAATAAGCGCAATTGTAAATATTTGCATAATAAATATAAAGAAAATACAAAGTAATTAGCTAGGAGGTGAGAGCAGAGGAAAGACTAGTAGTTAGGGATTAAGGAAGGTTTGATGTAGAAAATCCTGCTTGAATTATGTCTTGAAGGGATTCTAGTAGGAAGAGTAAGGTGGGAGTGAACTCCAGGCATGAGGGACAACCACAGCCAAGTCACAGGGGGATGGAGGTGGACCGAGAGAAAGCCAGTGTGGCTGGACAGAGAGGCTAGAAAGAGATGGAGGCTAATTGGGAAGAGTTTTAAAAGCTAAAGAAACGAATTTACATCTTATCTTCAAAGCAACAGGGAGCCACAGCAGTTTATTGAGTAGAGGTGTCATGTGGTCAGATGTTTATCTAGGCAGCTATTTGGAAGTTGGTGTGGATCGAGGGGAAAAAAAAAAAAAGCAGTTACACCAGTTACCAAGCTGATATTCTCTCTGTCTCTGTCTCTCTCTGTCTCTGTCTCTCTGTCTCTCTCTCTCTCTGCACTTGCTTTGAACTCAGGTCCTCCTAACTTCAGGGGTGGTGCTCTATCCACTGTGCCACCTAGCTTCCCCCAATGCAGTATTCTAGGGGAGAGGTGATAAGGACTTTGAACTAAGGTGCTAGCTCTGCAACTAGAAGGGAGGGGTTGGTTGAAAGTCATATTGTAGAAGGAGACAATTATAAGGGGCTTGGGGAGTGGAGAAAGATAGTGGGGGAGCACCCTAAATTGTAAATGATATTTTCTTACCTGGACAGGGAAAAATA